CCCGGATCGGGGCACGAACCCGTGTCCCCTGCATCGGCAGGCGGACTCTCAACCACTGCGCCACCAGGGAAACCCAATCTTTTTTTTTCAAGTATATTCCAAAAATTTTTTGCACACCTCTTGCAATTTGCCAGACCCAATGTCTTCATCAAAGACACTGGAATCCAGAGTAAATACACACATAATTTTTTTGGGATTCACACATTTCAAATCCTACTGCAGAAATTCGGCTTCAGTCACTAACTTCAAGAAACGTATTGATAGCTTACTTCAAGCGATTGTGTGTCCTTCAAACAATATTATATCCGGAACTAATACACTAATGTCTTTTCTTACTACTTGCTACAGATATCAACTAGCAGTCATTCTTTACCTGTAACATAAGCACCACCTGAAAAATTTACATTTTTGTCTATGTTAAGCTATAAATCTTATCACTTTCATAAATTATCAACTTTTCATACATTGAAAATCAAAAATACAAACAATATTATTTTAAATAATGTCTGGGATTACCACGTTTCCCCACAAATTATTTGAATGATGAATTTAACCTTGCGTTATTAAAAATACTGCACAATTAAAATTTTTTCTTACATAGTTTTATTTTTTTTTTTCCTAGAGAGGCCCATTTGTTCCTGTTGGGCATAAACCCAGCATAGGAGGAAATGGCCAGAGCTGAGGGGTCTCCCTGGGACTTTGCACTACAAATGAGGAAAAACTCCTTTCCTGTTAGTCATTTCTTCACTGGCAGGACACACCCACTGGGAGCATTTGACTCTGTGGGGTCCAAATGGGAGGAGGGCAAGTCTGGCTGGTGAACAGAATCCCAATCTGGGTTTAACTATCATTTTCCCTGTCTCACTGGGACGTTTAAGGCTGTTGCCTTAATTTTATTTTTAATCTATTTTTTCATCCATAAACTAAGGAATACATCCTATAGAATACCCACTAGAGATGCCACTAGGGATCCAGATGCTATGTGGAACATAGTGGAATGAATATCTATGTCACAGGACTCATTGCCAGTCTTCATGCAAGCTTCTGGTGACCATGCTCAAGTGAACTTTAATGCAAGTTAACATGGAGGTGTTTTCCTGATATCACAGGAAGTCTTAACAGGCTCCTTTGAAAGCCTCAGGGCCAGTCAGAGTGATCCTGGCCATTTCAGACATTGGACTGTCAGAAGCAAGTCAGGACAGGGGATGTAGTTTTGGCAAAGGTTGGCATCACGGTGCTCAGAATCTCTTCTCACCTGCCAGGGAAAATCCCTATGGGTTTCAACCAGAGAACACGCAGCTAGAAAATGGGAGAATAAGAGCATGTTGTGTCTAGTCCTACACATCTGAGGACACCTACTCGGTCTGTTTCTGATAATGATCCACAGAAAGGGTTATCTTTGCCTTAAAACATCTAATGTCCTGTTTATATACATTAGATAATTTATCTTGATTAGAATGTCATCCAAATCTCTAAGACATACCATAAGAAACACAGTGCAGCACTGTTACAATTATTTGCATTACCTCTGTATTCACAACTTCCATTGGTCTTTTCTTGATTTCTCCTATGTCCAAGTAACTGGGGGGGAAAAAAACAATAAGGGCTTCTTTTATTACTTTTGAATCAGCTATGTAAATTGCCTTTTTAAAAATTATTAAAAAGTAAAGCTAGCCATAGGAAATACTTAAGCCTAAAGCAAAAATCAATGGCTACTAATTAAAAGCCATTATAATAACAGGAACTGCTTTCAGGGCTGATACATGTCCATGCTAAACTTCAATGAAATTGAAGTCTTAGAAATATATACTTCCATTGGGGCACATTTTTCCCCACAACGGTCAGCTACTTACTATATATATGGTATTTCTTATTTTTATGCCAATTTTGATATAAAGAGTGGTTTGTGTGTAAAGCTGCTTAACAGTTAGTTCTATTAATCACAGACTTTAGGCCAAAGAAAGTAGTACTGATCCCATGCATTAGAGTAACAACTGTGAAAAGCTGGGAAATCTTTTTTCCTGGGAGAGCACTTTAATGATCCAGAAATGCTCAGCCATGTGGGATGGATGGTTTAGGCACTGGTTCAGCTAAAATACAGATGGGTAAACTAGTTAACCTCTGGAGACCCCTATTATTCTATTACTATTTGCTACATATATTAACTAGTGATCATCCTTTAGCTATAGTATAAGCACAACCTAAAAACTTTATACCTTTGTCCACTTCAAGCTATCTGTCCATCACTGTGATCTCGCTCCACTGTGCTTCATACATAGAAGGTGCTAAATAAATGTTTTAATATTAAAAATAAATATAAATCTAGGATTTAATTTATAACCATAGATAGGAAGATAGATACATTCTCTACCTCAACTACCATAATTGCTGAGTTGCCAAAAAAGTTCATATTAGAATTAATTTTGGCTATGTTTTATTTTGTTGTTTTTTGGATAGAACGCTTTACTTAATCCATACCTCTGCAAACTATCATGTATTTCTCTTACATAAACTGTATTATACAAGACAGTGAAAATTCTCCCTCTGCTTAACAATAAAATGGGTCTTTTGGAAATCTTCAGGGACTGATTTCTGACATAACAATAAAACATTCTAACTGTCACGTGCAGGAAAGTGATTTCAGATCCACATGTAGTAGAGTCAACATCCCAAAATGCATAAGGAAAACTCGGGAAAATAACAATCTCTAGAATTCTCTGCTATAAAATAAAGGTTTAATAGCTACCTGAAGTTTAATCACCGTTTCAAAAATAATAGAAGAAACATGAATAAAAGATATGCAAGAACAAAGTTGATCATTTTCATTTGAAAAATATTTTTCCACCATTGCTATCTTCCCCAACATCAATTAGGGTCTACATGGCATGAATTACCCTCAATATCTTTTGGGCTTTCTTTTGTTCTGCCAGTTTCTTCATTTGTTATGTAAGCTTAAAACTGCAAAGCTTCAAATATATTCAGCATTTAAATCTTCTTGGCTTCTATCATTATAACCATAGATACTACCACTTTAACACAAATAAATATTCATCTGTCAGCATGGAAAATTAACCATGGACACTGTTATAACAAACTCAGGGTTTTTGTGTGTGTGTTAAAAGCAAAAATAACCATGCAAATCTCTTTTATTTATATATATATATATAAAGAGTGATTTGAAGTGCACTTTCTATTTGGTTTGGAGCTGTACCTGTTTTTATCTTTTGAGTTGGTAGCACTAAATAGACAAAAGAGAATACGAATTATTAAAGTGAGTCTGGAATTGCACATTTACATTCCCATGAAATTGCTTCATATGAAAATTATTTAATTTAAAAAATTAACGAAGTATATGATGAAAGGAACTGGACACAGAGATGCTTTGCATTTATAACCCTTCATTGTTTACAAAACACATTCACATCCATACCATTTACTTTCTACAAGACTGTAAGGTAGGAATGGTTATGTTCCTTTTCTGCGTTAGGAAACTGACTAGCTGTGTCAAGCGAATTGCACAAGGATGCAGAGCTAATAAACAGCTCAAACACAAGTCTCCTGACTCTCAGCTTTAAGTTCTAAGTTATTTTGGAGTACAGTTTCATTTGTCTCTTTTCTAAGGAAGTTAGACAAAGCATACTAAAGGAGGTTTCAGGGAAGGGAAACTAAATCCAAATGTATCCCTCACCTTCCATAAAAAGAACATCTGGCATAACAAAAAAGCAGAACTCAACTTAAACAAACTTACCCAAGCTAGGATGATATTAGATAACTTTAGTGATACTTGGGAAAATAGTTCTACACAATCAGAAGTCACAAGCATAGATTTTATGGTAAAGGTTTTTTTATTCCCCATCCTGAGGCCCAAGGTGAATTTTAATTAAAATATTATATTAAAAACTATGGAGGGAAAAAACCTATGGAATACAGACTTACCATACAATCCAGCAATTCCACTCCTAGGTATATACCCAAAGAGAAATGAAAACTTATACATACCCAAATAATGAAAACTTGTATATACCCAAAGAGAAATGAAAATGTTCATAGCAGCATTATTCATATTAGCCAAAAGTGAAGCAATCCAAATATCCATCAACTGATTAACAGATAAACACAATGTGGTATAGCCATATCATGGAATATTATTCAACAATAAAAAGAATGAAGTACTGATACATACTATAACATGATAAGCCTTGAAAACATTATGCTAAGTGAAAGAAGACAGAAACACAAAAGGTCATATATTGTATGGTTCCTCTTACAGGCATACCTCATTTTATTGCACTTAACAGATATTGCATTGTTTTACAAATTGAATCAGGTTTGTGGCCACCCTGCATGGAGCAAATCTATCAACGCCATTTTTTCCAACAGCATTTGCTCACTTCATGTCTCTGTGTCACATTTTGGTAATTCTTGCAATATTTCACACTCGTTCATTATATTATATTTGTTATGGTAATCTGTGATCAGTGATCTTTGATGTTACTACTATGACTTGCTAAGGGCTCAAATGATGATTAGCAATTTTTAGCAATAAAGTATTTTTTAAATAAGGCATGTACTTTTTTTTAGACATAATGTTATTATTGCACACATAATAGACTACAGCATAGTGTAAACATAACTTTCATATACACTGGGAAATGAAAAAACTCCTGTGACTTGCTTTATTGCAATATTCACTTTATTGCAGTGGTCTGGATCAGAACTTGCAATATCTCCGAGGTCTGCCTGTATATAAAATGTCCAGAATAGACAAATCCACAGAGACAGAGAAACTAACCACTACTGATTAGTGGTTACTAGAGCATGGGGAGAAGGGGAAACTGGGAAGGTACAGGGTTTCTTTTTGGAGTGATGGAAATGTTCTAATATTAGTTTGTGGTGATGGCGGCAAAACTCTATGAATATACTAAAAATGAATGTGGTTTATGTTATGTGAAATATATCTCAGTAAAGCTATAAAACAAAAACCCTATGGAATATTAAATTCTACCTGTCCTACAGTACCTACCCCCACGAGGAATAATTTCTCTCAACTCCCGTATAACTTTAAATATCCTTCTAATTGCACTCATTCTTTGGTACTTTGCATTAAAATTACTGGTGTGCATGTAGTCTGATTCCTGTTAGATTGTGAACTCCAAAAGACAAGGAGTCCTGTCTTATCTTTGTTCCCTTCAGAGACCTAAGCACAGTTTGCAGATTCACTGAATGCCCACAGTAAGTGAGTGCCCTGCCAGGAACTGGGGATAAGCACCACTAACGATCTCTGTCCTTGAAGGCTTAACCATCAAGTACCTGGTGACAGACATGTAGACAAATACAGTAAGCCAGTAAACTTTTCCAAGCATTAAGGAAATAACATAAACGTGCAGGAGGTGGGAGGAGGGTCACAAAGTGGGGTGTGGTCACTTCTACTTGGAATTGAAAAGTTGAAAGCACTTTTCTTCATGGGTGACAATACTTCCAAGTGATTTTTAAGAAGTCTTTATTTAAACTCAAATGATAGGTTCCAACATTGTAAATCAACTATACTCCAACAAAAATTAAAATGAAATAAAATGATAGGTTCCAAGCAAAAGGGGAAAGAGAAAAAGGAGAACAGAAAATGCCAAATATCTAACATGACATTTGTGTTACTCTTTCCAAATAGTTAGCCACGGAATACTTTTTTTTTTTTGATTCCCACTCCTTATACACACATTTAAAGTCTGTTCCTACTGCTCCGTACGTGAACTTTCTTTTCCAATCACACTTTCAAACTCTTACCCTAGCCGCAGCGGGAGCCTTGAGTGGCATCAACCCGCACAGTCACAGCCCCTGAGCGCACAGAGGTGTGTGGTGAGGTGGGGGTTATTCCATTCCACCTTAGAACCCTCTGAAATGACGGGCGGTGGGGATAGAAGGACTCACTTGAGTTTCTTGAAGGCTTCCTGGCCCCCAGCCACGTAGTTGCCCCCGGTCTGGATCTGGTCTAGCTTCCGGATGCGGTGCCCGGTCCGCGGGGTGTAGATGTTCCTGACGGCCCCAAAGGGCGCCTGAACGCCGCCCGTCACCTCCTTGAGGAAGACGTCGAAGCTGGACACCTTCTTCTCGTGGAAGACGAAGCGGCGCCCCGCGAAAAAGGGGTCCCCGTTGCGGTACACCAGCACGCTCTTCACGACCGGCTGAGACAGGTGGCTGGACCTGGCGCTGGTGCCGCTCATCTTCCCCACGGGACGCCGCTCCGGCTCGCTTCTCAGCGGGGAGGCACCTCCGCTGCCCCAGCGGCCTCACGGCACACGCGGCGCGGGATCGCGTCCTGAAACGAACGGGCAACAGACAAGCTCACGGGTAAAGGCGAAGCAACTGCGTAGGCCGGGCGTTCACCCCGCGAAGCCCCTGCAGCTGCAGGATACGTTCAAGTATTTCACTGGAGTCTGCACAGCCAATCAGCAATCGCGGTGCGCGCACGACACCTGTTTCACTAGCTACCGGCAGAATCCATGTGTAACCACCTCTGCACAGGAGACGCGCGGGGAGCTTGAAACAGGCAAACTTAGTGCGCCCGGGAGGGAGGTGGGAACACACACACACACACACGAATAATAAAATTATAAATGTGATGAAACTTCTTTCCTCGCCTGACTCTCTCCCCTCTCAATCTTCTGTTTGTTCCCAAAGTAATTAGGGTTCCGGCTGGAATTGCCCAGATTTTTCTTTGCCGAGAAATAAATGCCTAAAGTGCATTGAGAGAGTTTCCCAGACCCCTCCCCCCTCCCCAGGTGACCTGCACCGCCCCGCGGCGAAGCTCCCTTGGGCATCGTTTGAACACCTAGGGCAGAGGCAGGCAATCGAGTCCCAAGGCGGGGGGTAGTGGGTGGGATCCCGGGAGGCGCCCGCGGCTGGAGTACCTACGGACACCCGAGGCCCAGTTGGGGGGGGGGCGGCTCGGGCCGGGC